GGGGCTCGGCAACGGGTCTTGATTGGCTCAAGATCTCCCGCTCGGATTGGCCGGAGAAGGGGGCAGCAAGGGGGGGTGCCCGTGGGGCGGCTTTTTTTAAAGTGGTCGCGCCCCAAAGGGCGTTCTGCATGGGGTGGTGCCTGCAGCACCGTGTCTACATACATATATATGTATGTGTGTGTGTGTGTATGTATGTGTGCGTTGATGTATATAGATCTTTATGTCTGTATACGTATGTATATATGTGTGTGTGTGCATATGTACGGGTATGTATGTGTGCACGCGTGCAGTAGGGGACAGGCAGGGCCGGCCTCTGTCCCGTGAGCGCAGGCAGCACGCAGGCAGCCCTGCTTTCTTCCCTCCGTCGTGTCGCAGAGCCCAGCCCGGGGGTGACGGGGCAGGACCTGCGCCCTCGCCCTTCCCGGTGCCAGCGCCTGGGTAAGCGGAGCTCGGGCCTCGCCGCTCCCCAGGGTCTGCGGTGTGGAGATGGCTTCATTTCTCTGAGCTCTCGTTTTGGGGGGGTGTCTGTGTCCGCAGAGGTCGGGCAGCAAGCATGCAACCACGCCTGCGGACAACTACTACCTGGCTCGGAGGAGGACTCTGCAAGTGGTGGTCAGCTCCTTGCTCACCGAAGCCGGCTTCGAGAGTGCCGAAAAGGCTGCGGTGGAGACGCTGACAGAGATGTTACAGAGCTGTGAGTATCCGGCTTTGTGAGCGTCCTGCCAAGTCACACTGGTCCCTGGACTTTCTCGTTTCTCTGTTTTCAAATTGGCCTTCACGTTTTAATTTTTTTATTTTCCATTTTTATTATCTTGTTTTAATGATGCTGGCAAAAGCAGAAGGCTAGACTGGTGGCTAGAGCACAGCCTTGGAGTCACAGACTTCTGTGAGCGTGAGCTGTTTGTCCAAACTCAGAAGTACTTACTTCCCTTACTCAGTGAGCATTAGGTATCCTAATAAAAGCTCGCTGTATTGAGGTGCTGCCAGAATAAATAGAGACATAATAAAGACATTTGGTTAGTTAAGGCTGTAGAAGTTCCTGTGTTTGGCAGCTCTGCTCCTACTCTTCTGGGTGATGTGCCTAGGATCTCAGGTTACATATTTTTCTGAAATCAAGAGGTGATTAGGTTTTGTATTTTTTGATGCTTGTGATGCAGATTTGCCTTTTGCATTTGTGGAAGATATCTGATTCTCTGATATTTAGTGTCTCCATACTTTGCACATGCTTTAATTTTAAATATGCAGGCTATAAGACACTGAATTCTGGGAGCTACTTTTCATTCCTTGCTAAATTTACTAAAAATTCACATCTTTGAAGCTAAGGTTGGGCTCATACAAATGTGTCGTCACTGTCTGGATCAAATACGTGGTTGTGGACTTTTTTTACCCCCCCCCCAGATATTTCTGAAATTGGAAGGAGCGCGAAGTCCTACTGTGAACATACAGCCAGAACACAGCCTACGCTCTCTGATATAGTGGTTACTCTAGTGGAAATGGGTGAGTAGCTGACTGGTCCCACTAATTCCAGCTGCCTGCATTGCAGAAGATTTGGGTGTGCTGCGTTGGTAGGAAAACCTGTGCCCCATGTTTCTGGTGTTTGTGTGATGCCCACTGTTCTCAGCACTCAGATATCACTGCTACAGATGCATTATGTACACATACAGAGTGCTTGATTTTCTTTCTCATGTTATTTGGAGCCCTTGGAAAAATTCTGGAGAAGCCTAAGAGAGAGGATTTTTGACAGGATAAACTCTTGGTGTGATTTCTGTTTCCTCTTTTGTATTTCAGGGTTCAATGTTGAAACGCTTCCTGCATATGCCAAGCGCTCCCAGAGGATGGTCATCACTGCCCGTATGTGGGAAATCCTTTCTCTTCTTATGCAGGAAATTGGA